AAGGATATTGCCTTAGAGGTTTCAGTGTGAATTTTAACGAGGATTATAAGAATCATGGAATAGTTTCTGTTTTTCTCCCTTTCTTTCCTTTCCCCCATCTTTCATTATTCCATTGTCCCTTCCTTTTGGCATTTATAAGCACTAGCATGTATTTGGAACTGTGTTAAATGCTAGGGATCCAGAAATGAAAGTATACAGTCTTTGTTCTCAAGGGACTAAGTCTAGTTGATGAGAAAGAAGAATAAAAAAAAAACTAATTACGGTATTGGTTGTGGAGTGGTCAGGAAAGTCTTACTGAAGGAAGGTGATGGCGGAGCCGCAAAGATGAATGAGAGATGACAAGGAGATGAAATTAATCTTATTTGGAATATTAATGGTTTTTTGGCTATGACACCTTTCTTTATACCAAAAAAAAAAAAAAAAGGCAGAATAGGAAACCCCAGGGCTCCATCCCTCCATCAGTGAGCTGGCAAAAACTGTCAGAATCAACTTTTACAGAGCTCTCGAGTCTAATTGAAAATTTACAACAACCAGGGCAAAGCTTAATAAAAGAAGCAGGTGTATTGCAGCAAGAGAGTTTTCTGATGTTTTATTTTTTAAAATTTTGTTTTCTGATGTTTTAAATGATCTACTTACCCTGCTCCACGTACCAGATTGGAGGTGGCCATGAAGATAGCAGGCGGAGTACCTAGTGCAGCTTGCCAAGTACCTGTGGGACCAATACAGACCTTATTCTCAAAGAACTGTGGTTGTGTATTTCCATCTGTCTGCTGGCTCCCTGAAGGACTGGTGTACAAGGGCTTGCCTTTGTTTTGCCCAACACAGAGTGTTTCCAGGTCTAGGATAGCTTTCCAGATGGCATTTGCCAAAAAGCACTTAAAAGAATTGGCTGCTATGCCTGGGGAAAGGGCTAAGAGTCAGGACAAACAAGAGACGAATCAAAAAGGCTGGGAAGAGCGTGGGAAAGGAGGCGTGTGAGGGAAATGAGCGCTTTTTTTTTTTTTTAAAGATTTTATTTATTTATTTATTTGAGGTGGGAGGGAGGAGGAGGAGCAGAGAGGGACAAACAGACTCCACGCTGAGCACAGAGCCCGATGCAGAGCTCCATCTCACGACCCTGAGATCATGACCTGAGCCAAAATCAAGAGTCCAGTGCTTAACCAACTGAGCTACCCAGGCATCCTGGAAATGAGGGCTTTTAAGAGCATGTGCCCAAGACTGGATGCATGCTCAGAAAAGGCCTAATCCTCGGAGATGATCCCAAACTTTCACCTCCCGCTGACCTTCAGGTTCTGCACAAGCAGGAAGTAAAGGTGAAAGCAGTGTTGTAAGCAGCCGGGCTAAGCACTGAAGCAGTGTCCCAACACAGAGGCAAATTTCCAAGAGTGGGGAGCTTTCAAGCTTCTGAAAAAAATATTTGGGGGCTTCAGGTGTTTATAGATACTCTGTCAATACACTAGCTGACCACTGAGCTAATGGAACACAAACTTCAGTGGCCATATATGATAAAAAATTAGAAACTTCACAAAGATCATTTAGAAAAGTAACTAAAGCAACAACCTTAAACAAGCAGCAACAACAAACACAACAAACAAAAACTGAGTTAATTTTTGTATATGGGCTGAGGTAATAGTCTACCTTCATTCTTTTACATGTGGATATCCAGTTATATCAGAACAGTTTGTTGGAAACTATTGCCTCCCCATTGAATGGCTTTGGCACCTTGTGAAAAATCGATTGCATAGATGCATGGGTTTATTTCTGGACTCTCAATTCTATTGCATTGATCTGCTTGTCTTTATGCTAGTACCACTCTGTTTTGATCCTCTAACCTTGTGTAGTAAGTTTTGAAATCAGGAAGTGTGAATTCTCCAACTTTATTTTTCTTTTTAAAGATTATCTTGGCTATTATTAGAGTCCCTTCCCCATGTTATTTTGAGATCAGCTTTTACATTTCTGCAAAAAGAAAAAGGCTACTTTTTTTATTAAGGATTTTATTTATTTATTTGACTGAGAAAACAAATGGTGGGAGGGGGGCTGCAGGCAGAGGGAGAGGGAGAAGCAGACTTCCCACTGAGCAGGGAGCCCGATGTGGGACTCAATCTCAGGACCCTGAGATCATGACCTGACCTGAAAGCAGACTCTTAACCGACTGAGCCACCCAGGTGCCCTACTACTGGGGTTTTAATGGGGATTTCATAGAATCTGTGGATCACTTTGGAGAGTGTTGCCATCTTAATAATATCTTCCAATTCATGAGTACAAGATGTCTTTCTACTTATTAGGTTTCTTTTAACTACTTTCAACAATGTTTTGTAATTTTCAGTGTGTAAGTCTTGTACCTGGTTGGTTAAATGTATTTCTTTTTTTTTTAATTTAATTTTATTATGTTATGTTAATCACCATACATTACATCATTAGTTTTTGATGTCGTGTTCCATGATTCATTGTTTGCATATAACACCCAGTGCTCTATGCAGAAAGTGCCTTCTTTAATACCCATCATCAGGCTAACCCATCCCCCCACTCCCCTTCCCTCTAGAACCCTCAGTTTGTTTCAAAGAGTCCATAGTTTCTCATCGTCTCCCCCTCCAATTTCCCCCCTTCATTTTTCCCTTCCTACTATCTTCTTCTTCTTCTTTTTTTAACATATATTATTTGTTTCAGAGTTAAATGTATTTCTAAGTGTTTTAGTCTTTTGATGCTATTGAAAATGGACTTATTTTCTTCATTTTCTGGAAATGGGATTGCCAGTATACAGAAATACCACTAATTTTTACATGTTGATCCTGTATGCTAGTACTTTGCTGAGTTTATTAGTTTTAGTAACTTTCTTGTGGATTCTTTGGGAATTTTTATGTATAGGGTCATGTTCTCTATAAAGAGAGAGAGTTTTACTCATTCCTTTCCAATTTGGATGTCTTTTATTCCTTTTGTTGACTAATTGCTCTAGCTAGAAGTTCCAGGACAATGTTGAACAGCAGTGATGAAAGTGGCATTCTTGTCTGCTCCTGATCTTAGTGGGGGACCTTTTAGTCTTTCACCCTTGAGTATAATGTTAGCTGTTGGGTTTTCATAAATGCCTGTTTCAGGTTGAGGAAGTTTCTTTCTGTTTTGCTTTTTGAGATATTTTTCTAATGAAAGTGTGTTGCACTTTTTTGGATTTTTTTTTTTTTTTTTTGTATCTGTTAGGTGATCACATGGGTTTTTCCCTTCATCCTAGTATTGTGGTGTATTATATTGATTGATTTTCATTTATTGAGCCACTTCTGTTTTCCTGAGAAAAATCCCATCTGGGGGATTGAACTTTTTTAAACATTATATGATCTATCCTTTTTTATATTTTAACAATTTTGGTCTTAAATCTTTGTCTGAAATTTGGAGAGCAACTCTAGCTCTTAGTTGGTTACTGTTGGCATGGAATAGCCTTTTCCATCTTTTTACTTTCAACCAGTGTGCATCTTTGAATTTAAAATGAATCTCTTAGGGACAACATATATTTGGATCATGCTTTTTTTTTTTTGGATCATGCTTTTTAAAAAAATTTTCTATTCTGTCCATTTCTGCCTGTTAATTGTAATCTTTTTACATTTAATATAATTACTGATAAGGAAGGACTTTGGCATTTTGCCATTTGTTTTCTAAAATGTCTTATATTGGGGGTGGCTGGGTGGCTCATTCAGTTAAGGGTCTGACTCTTGATTTCGGCTGAAGTCATGATCTCAGGTTCAGGAGATCGAGCTCCATGGCTGACTCTGTGCTCAGCGGGGAGTCTGCTTGAGATTCTCTCTCTCCCTCTCCTGCTGCCCCCCCCACTCACTCTCTCTCTCAAATAAAGAAATAAATTTTAAAGAAAAAAATGTCTTATATCTCCCTCTACCCCAATTCCTCCACTACTGCCTTCTTTTATGTTTCATTGATTCCTTTTTTTGTAACAATTTTTATTTCCTTCTCAGCATATTTTTTAGTTATTGTCTTAGTGTTTGTTCTGGGGGTTACAATTAACATGTTAATGTATAACAGTATATTTTAGATTAATACAAACTTAATTTCAAATGGTATACAAAATCTTTCATTCTATACAGTTTACACTGTTATTGCCACAAATCACATCTTTATACATTGTATACCCATGAAGACAGACTTGTATTATTTTATGTAGTCATCCTTTAAATCATATATTGAAAAAAGAGGAATTGCAAAATGCATGAATACTATTTTTTGTATTCGTCTATGTAGTTACCTTTAGCGTGTGCTTTATTTCTTCGTGTAGATTCCAGTTATTATTTAGTGAAGCTTAAAGCACTTCTTCAGCATTTCTTATAGGGAAAACCCAGATTATGAGAGGAACATTTACTCTAAAAGAAGAAGAGAGACATCCTCTGAGAATAGCTGATCAAGTAAACATGAGAGTGAATTTGTAAGGAGAGTTCAGGGCATTCATGGCGCAATCACTGAATTTTCTTGAGGACAGGGATTCCAAGTTCATTTGTTCGGGATGACAAGGGAAGTGTATAGACAGTGTGATTGTACTGAAGGACTGAAGTAGTACCTAAGAGTTATGGGAGACAGAACTGAGATAAGAGCAGAACTGTACCCACCTATGCAACCCTACCACCCGACTAGGTATTGGGTGGGTATTGATTGTCCTTCTGAAGTTCTTAGAAACAAATTCTCCCATAGGCTCACTGCAGTACCCAGTGCAGCCATCCAGCCTATTCGCCCTGTAGGGGGCACTCTGTAGAGGGAGGCGGATCCCAGCAGGCCTTGCGGGGTGACTCAGAGGTCGTCTCTGTGACGTATAACACCCTCGCCTGGTAGGGGTTGGTGTGGTGAGGGAATCTGCTTTACTCCTTGTGAGGAAAGCAAGGTAGAGAGGGAAGAGGCTGAGGAGGGCCGGACTGGAAAGGGACTTTAGTAGGACTGAGTGGGGAGGTGAGCAGTGGACTTTACTGGCGGCAGCAGGGGCGGCATCGACGGTTAACTAGGCCGCAGCAGCCATGGCAGTTGACTTCGGGGACCACGCCAGCGGGTTCCGCCACACGGAGGTGATCAGGTTCATCAACAACGAAGTGCTCATGAACGGCGGCGGTCCAGATTTCTACGTGACCTTCCGCTCACGGCCCTGGAATGAGGTGGAGGACCAGCTTCGGACCGTCGTGGTCGACCCTCAGGTACCGCGCACCACTAAGAGAGCCTGTGCCTGGAGCGCGCTGGCCTTGAGTGTGCGCGCGGCCGCGAGGCAGCGGGAGCAGCAGGCGCACCGCGTGCGGCGGCTGCAGGAGCAGGTGGAGGAGCGCGAGATGGCTACCTGGGCCCTGGCCTCCGAGCTGCAGCGGCTGCGTGGGGATCGAGAGGAAGTGGCCACGCAGTTGCGCTTCACGCAGGTCGCCCTGCAGCAGGCGCTGCTCGAGTGTGATGTGCTTCGTGGGCGGCTGCTCCACGTGGATAGGTCGGCCCAGGTCATCCCGCTGGCCCGTGAAATACTGCCTGCGCCTCGAGCCGAGCAGCATGGGGCTATAGCCGGGCCCCTGAATGCTGAGCAGCAGAGAGATGTGGTTGCCGTGGGGTTTCCTGGTAGGCTGTATTTTGAGGCCCAGGTGCGAGCCCCAGCAGCTGTTCTTCACATGCCAGGACCCCCAGGTCCCAGGGCTCAGGCCATACAACCCCCTCTGCCAATGCCGGTGCCATACTCACTTCCATTGCAAGCACCACTCCCAGTGGGAATCCCTTTCTTGCCGCCTCTGCCACCACCAGTAGTCATGGATGCAGAAGCTGCAGTAGTCCCGCTTCAGATGCTTCCTCTGGAGACCTACCCACCTGGTCCATGTGCTGCAGTGGGCTTCCGGGAGGAGGGGGCCCCACCATGGGACCAAAGGAATTACAGCCAGGAGGGAGGTCCTGGGATCTTCCGGAGTACAGTCCCCCTGGGGAATATCAGAAACCCTAGCCAGGAAGGTCTAGAGAGGCCTCAGGGGATGGTCCCCCTTAGGGATAGCTGGAGCCACAGCCAAGAAGAAGGTCCAGAGGGGGCCCAGGGGATGGGTCCTCCTGGGGACAGCTGGAGCCTCAGCCAGGGAGCAGATCAAGGGACACCCCAGGGGGCGGTATCCCTTGGGGATAGTTGGAGCCAGATCCAGAAAGAAGGTCCAGAGAAGGCCCAGGGGATGGTCCCCTCTGGGGATAGCTGGGGCCAGAGTCAGGAAGAAGGTTTAGAGAGGCCCCAGGGGATGGTCCCCCTTGGGGAGAGCTGGAGCCTCAGCCAGGAAGATTCAGAGAGATTCCAGGAGGTGGTTACCCTTGGTGCCGATCAGGAAGAAGATCCAGAGACTCCCCAGGAGGTGGTACCCCTGAGGGCCAGTGAGAGCCACAGCCAGGAAGAATTTCCAAAAAGACCCCAAGGGGTGGCCCCCCTTGGTGCCAGCAGGAGCAACAACCAGGAAGAAGATGTAGAGAGGTCCCAGGACGTGGTTCCCCTGGGGGTCAGTGGGAGCCACAGCCAGGAAGAAAATCCAAAAAGACCCCAAGGGATGGCGCCCCTTGGTGCCAGTAGGAGCAATAGCCAGGAAGAAGATAAAGAGGGGCCCCAGGAGGTGGTACCCCTGGGGGCCAGTGGGAGCAACAGCAAGGAAGAAGGTCCAAAAACACCCCAAAGGATGGCCCCCCTTGGTGCCCGTAAGAGCTACAGCCAGGAAGAAGATCCAGAGGGGGCCCAGGAGATGGTATCCCTGGGGGCCAGTGGGAACCATGACAAGGAAGAAGGTCCAGAAAGACCCCAAGGGATGGCCCCTCTGGGGGATAACAGTAGCCAAAGCCAGGAAGAAGATCTGGAGAGGCCCCAGGGGACTGGTCCCCTGGGGGACAGCAGAAGCAACAGCCAGGAAGAAGGTCCACAGAGGCCCCAAGGGATGCTCTCCCTGGAGTTTCTCAGGAGTCACAGTCAGGAAGAAGGTCCACAGAGGCCCCAAAGGATGCTTTCCCTGGGGTTTAGCAGGAGTCACAGCCAGGAAGAAGGTCCACGGAGGCCCCAGGCAACCCCGCCGGGGGATGGCTGCAGCCAAAGTATGAGGGAAAACCCAAAGATACAGCAGCCTCCGGGGCAGAAGACCAAGCAACCAAAAGGGAAAAAAGCTTTGGATTCCAAGCACCAGGAGAAATCTGTCTCAAGATGCAGTCCAGTGAATTGGGACTGCCCATGGTGTAAAGCCATGAATTTTTCATGGCGCAAGGCCTGTTATAAATGCAAGAAAGTCTGTGTGGCAGGTGAGAGTAGAGGCCGGGACCCAGGACAAATTTACTGACTTCAAGAAGGTAAGTAAGAATGAAAACACTCCAAAGGAAAACCAATTTCCCAAGACCCTCTTCTGATCAAAAAGTAACTTATTTACTTCACAGAAAATGTGAAAACCAAAATTATTGTAGAGAAAGTTAAATAAAACAGTCCATTATTCCATTACTGAAACTAACAACTTTTTATCATTGTGGGTACTACATACGTAAATACACACTCCTTTCTGGTTTCTTATTAACCTCCTTTTCCTGAATATGCCATGTCTTTGGGAACAGCTGTGTGGTTTTTGAGTTATAACTATATTGAATTTTAGGAGCACCGCTCTTCCTTCAAAATGCTATTGTTCCTTTGTAAACTACAGTGTTCATGTTTGCTTCTTGTTTTTAAGTTTTATAGGTGAGGGCCTGTTTTTGTGTCTCTGAGCCCCACAGAACTTGTTTGTTGCTGAAGAAGCTGAACCCGTCCCATTAGAAGATTTCCCAAGAGTCTAAAGAAATCACACCTTGATTCCAGCTGACCCGCACCTCATTGAGACCCCCCATTGGCTGGAACTGAGAAGAGTGAGAAGAAGTCATGGAAGAAGAGATGCTCTGGCACTCAGTAGGGGGGCAGGGAGGGCAAAACAATTTTGTTAGAATGTAATTTCTCTGTTGGGATTAATTTGGGAGAATTGGGGGGGTGTTGCAGTATTAAATTCTATAGATGATAGCAAATTTGATGGATTACATTTAATTCACTAAACAAATAGTTATTGTCTAGTATGTATTAGGAGCTAGACTTATATGTTAATATCTGGTGCACACATTATAACTTGATTTGGTGAGTTTGGTTAGATAACAGGAGAGAGCCTAATTTGGGATGCAAAGTATATCAGGAGGATGTCTTTGCCTGGCATACAGCATGATTTTCTGGTAAACCCAACTGAAATGACATCCAGATATATGTATATATATATTTAAAGATTTTATTTATTTATTTTTGAGAGAGAGAGCATAAGTGGGGGGAAGGGGCAGAGGGAGAGGCAGACTCCCCCCTGAGCTGGGAACCCGATGTGGGGCTTGATCCCAGGACCCTGGGATCATGACCTGAGCCAAAGGCAGGTGCTTAACCCACAGAGCCACCCAGGCGCCCCACATCCAGATATTTTTGCAGTTCTGGGAGTAACATCAGGGACTTCCATGAAAGGACTTGAGTCACTGAATTGCTCATCTCACTGTTCACAGGTAAGACAAATGAGCAGTGGCAGAGATCAGGAAAGTGGCTTTATGAAAGTGCAGGTGGGACTTTTCTGATACTCTGTTGATTTCTTCCTTTGAGAGGGACAGCTATCTTCCTGGTTGCCTGAATGACCGCTGGTGACTTAAAGACAGTACTTGAGAGAGTGTTGGCTACACACTCGAGCCCGCAGCTTTGGACCACCACCATCCCAAGCTCCTTTCCAGTCAAGAGTGGTTGAAGAACAAAATGGATTCTAAGGGTGGACATCATGCTGTGGATGGTGCTTCTCTAATAAGATTAAAAAAGAACTGGACTGAGAGAAGCCCTTTTGGGAATGCCCTGGGCCCATTCTCTCCCATTTGGTGTGTTCTTTGCAGGCTCTCTGCTCCCCCGAGGCAGGTGGAGCCCAGGGGGTGGGAAGTTAGATGGTCTCCAGACTGAACGAAAGGTGTCCCCGAGTTCCCCCATGAAATCCCAGCTCACCAAGCTCAGCCTCTGTCAGAGGTTTCCTGATTCTAATAATAAAGAGTGTGCACTTGCCTGCTGTGTCTTCTGTGTGGTGTGCATCTCGGGGCAGGTTTGCTCCAGGGCGGCAGTTTAAACCCACATCTTCCCACCATCCCACCGAGGTGAAGGAAAGTTCGAGCTCATTCACCATTAGAGGGCCTCTCCTCTTCCAGCAAGTTACCCAAGACTGGGAGGGGGAGGAGCTTCTGTGGGGCCTTCAATCCATTGTGAACGTCCCTGATCCCCTCACTGTCCGAGTCCACATGGTCCTTTGAAGGTGGGCATCTCCGCTGCTCTTAGGCCCGTGGGGCACGGGAGGGGAGGTGGGGACGGGGCTTCTGTCTAGGCTGGGAACCCGGATGCCTGGTGTCCAGCTTCCCTATGTGCACCAAGAAGCCATTTCCCTGAGGCCCTGTCTCCTAGGGGTCCAGTGAGCAGGAATTTCCCTCCTATATTTCTGCCTTGCAAGGCGCTGTCCCCTCCTATGCACAATCCCATCAAGGGGCTCAGGATTCTGGAAAATAGCCAGGTTTAGATGGCCTGTTAATAAGACAAATGTTCCCCGAGGCAAACGGGGGTGGAACCTGGCTGCCTGCTTGTTGTAAGGACAGGGGATGGGGCAGAGAACTGACCCTACCCCCCCGGCTTTCTCTCTCTCCTCACTCCTGGTAACCGGGAGGCCTTGTTTACTAGTGGGGAGCACTGGGGAGGAAGAGGACCATCAGGGACATCAACCTAAAGCTAGGTTTTCTGGGCTAGGGGCTGGTTTTGTGATATTCCTGTGTGTGCCGATAGCTCCCTGGAATTTTGGGAAGTTGATACACAGATGGGACTTGGGAATTTTCCAACATAATCCACCTTGATGTACTAGCAGGTCACTAGATCTCACTACGGTTGCTTTATTTATGGTTTCAAATGGGCTCTGCTGTTTGTTGGCATGCCTCTAGGTCTGCATGAAAGCAGACTCACCCTGTGCATAGCTTTTATATAGTTTATTATTATTATCACAGTCTTTCTGGGTTGACAATTTCCAAAACAACCTGAATCATTAAGGTTGTCAAATCACTACCTTTTTTCTGGGCCGGGTACACACAAGAAATGGTAGCGGTTTCTGAGACAAGAACCTGGGCTTTGGAATTAGAGAGACATGAGTTTGGATACTTGTGCTGTTATTCACTAGCTGCGTGACCTTCAACAAGTTGCTGAACTTCTCTGAGCCCCCAACAAATGGGTTGTTCCTTTCCCTACCCTCAGGATTCTGCTCTTGGTGCTGTGGTAATGAGTACAAGGCATTGTTAATGATGGCAAGAGATACCATTGAGTGCTTACTGTGTGCCAGGTGCTCTAAGCACATTACCCTTTTTGGTGACTGTAAGGTATGAATAGGTACCCATGTTAGTAGTTCTTCAAAGTGAATATGATTACCCCCGTTTTACAAATAGGGTAACTCAATACCCAAAGTTGGGAATTGGTGAAGCCTGGCTTCAAAATGAAATTGTACAGGCTCCAGTGCCTCTGCTCTTTCCATTATATTACTGTACCTTAAACTTTTACCCTTACTGAGTAATACATTTGCATGTCACATGGGTCATCAATGCCTAAATCCAGTGACAGGATTGTAATGGAGAGACTTGGAGGCATAGTAACAGTCCGGTGGTCATGGTCATGCTGCTCTTTAAGAATTTCTCAAGCTTTGTGACAAGTGCCCAGCTTGGCTGCCAGTGAGCAGGACCACTTACTATCTCTAGACTGCAGAACCAAGAGGGTGCTGGTGGTAATTTAGGCAGTGGAAGCGATTTGTATTCGATTCAGCAGACTGGCCTTATGAAAAGTTTATATATAGCCGAGTTCAATACTGTTAAGGTAGAGCCCATCTTGACTGCTTCTCGGAAGTCTGTCTGAATAACTCAGCGTTGGTTTTAGGTGGATAAGGTACCAGCTATAACAGCCTAATATACATGCATGTATACTTTTCAGCGAGGAAGGAGGCAGGAAAGGAGACTTCAAAAGCTTCACATTTGTGTTGCAAAATGGGGAATAGAATTGATGTTTTCTAAATCATGGTACTAAATCTATGACAGAGTGGCAAAGAAATACATAATTTCCTTATCGTGTGCTTTGTAAAGTCTCAACACCAAACGATAGCAGATTCTTATTATGTGGTGCAGGCACTGTGCGTAATGCCCGTGAGTGTTTCTCTCACTTCTAGCTCATGATGGAGTGATTGCATCCACTGGAACTAAGCCTCACATGAACTTAAGGATCCTGAAACAATCCTGGCCTGTGACCTTATGAGGTTGCAGTTGAACAGAATTTTCTCATTGACAGTGCTTGTTCTTTGGCACTTAAGACAAGTGTTCAAGACCACGATGGAACAGGCATAGGAAGCACTGCCGCACTGAGTATCTGTACCCCCAAGGGACCTAGTACAGTTCCTTGAGTACAACTTCCTATTTGGTTCATGCCAGAAGCACTCTATTCAATGAGCCTAGGAATCCCTCCAGTAGGTCAGATCCTGGCACATCTAGCCCAACTTCTCTGGGGCATAAAGCAATTGTAAAAAAGGATCATATACTCTTCCTGGTGTCAATTTTAGAGGGAAGAATGCCAGTAGGAATTCCTAGCTTTTTAATACTTTATAGATCAAGCAAAGAACATGCATATAGAGAAGGCTTTGGATGTGCCGCGCACTGTGTTAGACAACGTGGAAGTCATTACTATTGTCCTCTATAATCTCCTGTTCTGTTAGAAGAAATACGACAAATATACACCAAACAGTAGTCATCAGCCTTTTCATCAATTATTCAATCATATTTTCTGGCCTGGAGATGTCAGTTTTCAAAAAGTTCCTGTATATCAAACAGTATTATATAATATGTGATTATTTTCTCATTTAAAATTAAGAAAGCATGTATATCTCTAAGGTTCCCTCACACAAACTTGATGTACTTCCACCTAAAAGCAGTCATTTGTCATTTAAGTTTAGGATTTTGTGGGGATTTAGTGACTATTATTATCACTATTATTATTACATGCAGCCTAATCACAGGCAAATGGACCATTTTACTAGGCTCTTTGTAATAGCGACAATACCTTAGAATCCATCATTACCACCTTCTTCAACTTCTATGAACTTTGAGGACGCAAATTAGGAAGAATTTCTGTAGAAAGCTAGTAGTTTTAATACATATTAAATACCAGTAAGTGTTAAAGGATTAAAAAAAATACACATTGAGTATGTATTTGGGGTTGCAAAGCTTCCATGATAGCCAGATGGTTTCAAATTGTGCCCCCAGTCAACAGAAAAAGTTGTTGAGAAAGTTAACTTTGTTTTACTTTGAAATAATATGCAGTATTACAGCTTCACTTGTGATATTCTCCAGCTCTTTGCTTTCTTCATTCTACACTACCTTACAAAAATAATGGTGCACAAGGCAAAAAAACCTGTGATTACTTTTGTGGTAGGCAGCATTTAACCTTACCCCAGTGTTTATAAAGTGATGACAAAGAGCTCTCTGAGGGTTTTGTCTATAAGTAAAAGTTTTAGGATATTTAATCTCATTTATTTTTTGCTTGATATATATTTACTTTGATAATTTCAGTGACCATATTGGTTTCAGGAAAGAAAAAGACTGAGCAAGGATTGAAAATTTCATACCTTTACCACTACAATTCCTGATATTGTCTAGACAGTTTTGAAACTTCAGAACATATATGACCTGCTTTGTAAAAGACTCATACTACTGAACTCCCCACTGATCGATGTTTCTAGCATTTTTCCATGAAATATTTATTACTGAGAAGGAAAAGAAAAACGATGCCAATGTC